TGGAACGCTTCACGTTGCCTTTCTGGGTTAAATGTGTCTGCCAGAACACAGACACAAGTTTTCTACAACCATGAACTTATCAATCAAAAATCATGGTTTGAAATGGTTTGCAAATCCCTGTCTAGACCAACCATCATTCATTAGTTTGCTACTGGTCCTTTACAAGTGCTCAACCATGGAAAGCAAAGCAAAAGTAAAGCAAAGAGGGAGCAACTTTGAACCACTGTTTTCTCATTTCCTTTGGAAGTTCGAGCCTATAGGCTGGGTTCTAAACTATAATTAGAATTTAAGGCACAGTGACAGTGTGAAGCCTGCAGAAGGTTCTGTTTACCAACAACAGACACATTTAATGCAAGCGACCCACAATGCTACTAAGGAGTCCCAAGGTTTCTCAGACCACATCTTTGGAAACCATTAAACTATCTATGAAATTTAAATAGTTATTGTTTACCTTGAGTCCATCATCAATCCGAAGGGAGACTGCAGCCAAGAAATCACAAGCAGACTGAGACTCAGAAGGGCAACAATGAAGGCATTAGAAAAGATAATCAAGCGTAAGGATGTGCTACTGGGGACCAAGACCCAGATCACCCACCCTTATATTTACTCTCACCACGTATGGGTCTCTGCTTGGACCTTTTATTTCAGTAACATCACAGGGTGGCAACTATGGGATGAACATTCTGGTTTTCATACACCCTTTCAGGCTGAATGACATTCTGATGGAACACATCTATACTGCAAATGTGGGGGACTTCAAACACTATATCAAAGCTGATGGGGGGGAAGACAGAGTACTAATACATAGGAACTGTGTGGGGTTTTTTGAAGAGACAGACTTAAGTAAGAATTCACTTTTTTCTGTGAATGGTTGTGGCTTCTTTAGAGATGTAGCTAGAACTAGTTTGGAGAAGTTGGTCTAAATCATGCCATAGGCCCCAGGTAATGTTCCCTCTCATTTTCAGCCCCACTGGGCAGGGGTTGTGACCGGAACCAAAGGGGCTGAAAACAATCGCTGGGGGTGCACGGAGGAGGAGGAGGCCTGCGTAAAGGGGAGGCAGTGACATGCAGGCTTACATTCCTCAGAGGGAACTTTGGTCCCAAGTGTTTTAAAGCTACTAGTGGCATTTCAAAATGCAGGAAAATTCCTCATGTATATATATATATATATATCCTATTCAGCAAAGAGAAGTATTTCCCAATGCTGATGTTTATCTGTTCCACATTTCAAAATGCAGGAAAATTCCTCGTTCAGGGAAAAAGAAAACAAACTCTGATTTACAGCAAAAAAAAAACAAACTATGGTTGAAGCTACAGCCCCCAAAACAAGGAAATTCAGACCATTGATTTATCTCCCGACATTCAATTGATTGATGGGCACACAGATGCACCCTTCTCCTACATTAACCTTCATCCCAAGTAAACATTACATCATAATTCTGTCGTGCCCACCAGCACTCTGCTCCCTAGATAGCACGTCTTGTGGTGAGGCAGAAGTGAACTGAAACACCGGTTTTCCACAGCATCAGCAACTACAAGCAGATCTGCACCACCTTCCTGTCCTCAGTTAGTTAGTTATTCCTTATTAATCCAATCCAATTCAGCCTTCCTGTGGAGAAAGAAATCTTGGGTTTAGACTCAGGTAAGTATTGTTTTTCCCTTTAGGAAATCAAGGTGTGGAGCTCACCTCTTGTTTTATTTGAGGTGGAAGTTGTGCTGGAAGAAATGAGCACCAATTTGCCCTTACTTCAAGCCAGAAGAGTGGGTTGATCTAAGGTCTAAATCACCTTTACTAGGAGTGAGGGTTAAGCTTCAATCATAACTTTTTGCTTTAAACCAGTCCCCCCCCAATTAGTTACAGCTCCCATTAGTGTTACAGTGGTGCCTCACTTAACGATTTTAATTGGTGTCAAAAAAAACATTGCTATGGGAAAACATCGCTAAGCGAAACGCGTTTTCCCATAGAGATGCATTGAAAACCGGATAATCCGTTTCAATGGGAACGGATTGCCGTCCTTAAGCGAAAATTGCCATAGGAAACATCGCTAAGCGAAACGCGGTTCCCCAATTGAAATGCACTGAAGCCTATTCAATGCATTTCAATGGGGGGGGGGAATTACAACAAATTCAAAAAGAGTCAGAACAAAGTCAAATTAGTTTAACAAAGGGTTTATTAAGTGCACTTATGATTTCAAGCATTCTAAACCTTTTTAAAATATTTTTAAACATTTAAAAGACAGCCAACACGAGGCTGTCAAAACCATCGCTAAGCGAAACAGGGGAACCCAAACTGTCATCACTATGTGAAGCAAGGTCCCAAACATCGCTATGCGAAAATCGCCCATAGGAAACATCGTTAAACGGAGCACAAGATCGCTCCAGAAAACTAATAATCGTTAAGTGATTACATCGTTAAACGAAGCAATCGTTAAGCAAGGCACCACTGTATTAATAAGAGCCATCATTCTTCTTAGGATAACTGTACGTTCTCTGGTTCAATGACTTCCACAAAGAACTTGAAAATGCACTGTCATTTTACCATATGTGACACAGAAAAAGGAAGAACTGAAAATGCTACAGAAGAAATGCCCTACACAATGTGAACAATAACTTCTTCACAGAATATGAACAGGGCAATGCTCACGCTCCTTACACACATCTAGCATTCCACCCAATTATACACAGAGAAGGGCCTATCTCCTATGAGAAGTGGTGACCAATAAATACACCGTGCTGGTAATCTTATTAACCCCCTTCAACCAGGAACAAGTATTGGCAGAGTACAGAAGCTTGTTGGAAGCTTATGAATCCAAATGGAATATATGCCAGGGACATAATCCACAAGGAAACTCTGTGGCACAAGGCCGACTAAATGCACAATGGTCTTGCGCGCCAAACTCTGTGTGCAGAAGATCTTCCTGGTGTGTTGCAGCCAACACTCACCAGCAGGCCAGGAACACATGCGACTAGATTTTTGCAAAACTTCTCTTCAAGAAGAGAGAAGCAAAATCAATACGTACTAGTGAGATGAGAGAGATCTATGAGGGAACCATAGCATCTGTTTGAGAAATACCCTTCCAGTGAGGGGCTGCAGCTCGCTGGCAGGAAGGATGCCGGTAAAAAGCAACAACAATCAGGTTTCACATCAAGCAATGCAATCAAAGTAGAAAGGAAAAGCTGCTCACTGCTCCTTCCTGAAAGTCAGGTAGATTCCAGTCTTGACCCACCAGGACCAGAGGGATATTGGGATATTTGCCATCTGAGATCCTGAGCAGCTGATACTTGAAGGCTGCTGTAAATCACTGCTTGATAGTTTGTTCCCAGGAAGTATTTCTTCCTTTTCCATGTGCTTAACAATCACAGAATAGATGTTTTAAAATCACCACCTGTCTTTGCTCAAACTCCCAGTATACCTTTCAAAAAAATAAATAAAAGACAACTGATTTCACCTTCTAAAATATCATTCCCAAGGCCAGGAGATGAAGGTTATGTAAGGGACAAGGGCACAACAACAGATCCATGCCTTTCTGATCAGCTGAAACACCACTCTCCTGGAATCCTTCAGAGCAGGGTGAAGGCAAGGGAAATGAGAGAGAGAGAGAGAGAAGAGAGTTGTCACTTCAAGGCTCTTGGCTGAAATGGTTTCAGTTCTGCCTCTTCTCGCCAACTATGGGTTTCTCAGGTATTGCAAATAACTCCTTTCCCCCTCCCAGCCTTGATTTCTCTAGCCAGCTAAGAGGAGCATAAACAAACTTTGTCCTTCACTTGCCAAAACTCAGAGAAGCACCACTTCAAGGTCACTCTTGCTAGCAAAGGAAGGCCTCCGCTCCAGAAACTTGTACGGCAACACTATTCCGACTATGAGGAGGGGAAGACATTTTTTAAAATCCGTAGGTAGTGCTCTTTACTCAAGGCAAACAGGCAAACCTCTGCTACAAAAAGCCTTCCAGAGCACCCCTCTTCCTTCACTGCAGAATAGGTGCCAAAGGAACGTTCCAGTGACCTTCGTCATTTAATTGCCATTAAAAAGAAAAGCAAACACCTTATTATACCTGTCAAAGGACAGTGGAAAAAGAGAGGCAAGTCTGTACATAGCACTCACAGTAAACTCTGTCTTTAGCAGCCTGTGACTGAAGGACAGAATCTTTTTAGATAACCAAGATCTGGGGCAGAAACTACAAGACTTATCCACAGAGAGAGAGAGAGCATTTAATGTTCCAACACCAATACAATAAGATTGCTGCAAAATGTTTAAGATCACAGAACACGGAAGCTGACTTGATAAGAAAAGCAATACTGTACAACACATCCTATCGGAAAGGGTGTGATTTAAGAAAGCAATGCACTGCCCCCCCATAGGAGTGGGGGTGGGGAGAGAAAAAGAAAGAAGGGACAGAGGAAAAAAAGGGCACACTAGTGTTACAGAAATATACAGCATTTTACTCATCTAATAAATACATAAGGTGATGCATCGGCCCAAGGCCCTGTTTAGCAAAGTCTCAAAGATCTGACATGACATGGGACGAGTTAGCGGTACCCGTGCCCCTCTGACACCTCTCCCCATGTGCCACCAATGTTCTTTGCAGCTCCCAGAATCAAAAGAGCTCTAGAAAATCAGCTGCCTTGCATCCTTCTCCTTATGAAAGCTTCAATGCATTTGAACAAAGACAAGTTATGGAGAAAAGGAGGAGAGAGAGAAGAAAATCAAGACTTCCAGCTTTTCAACCCCCACCTTACACAGATTATGCGTCTCAGTAAAAATTAATCTCTTTCCTCGCACGTCTCCTGCTATCGCTACAGAAGTGGCAGAGGAAGGAGCCCCGTGAAGAAAAGGCATGCATAAGCCAAGGGAGAAGCAAGGTAAGCGCTCCATCAGGTATGCAAGGAATGCAAAGGGGCCATTTTCCGAGACAGTTTCAACTTATCTGCACTCTTGGGCTCTTGACTGCAACGAGGATCGCTCAAGAAAAAGGAAAGTAATTGTAAAAAAAAAAACTTACCAGGGGTCGCATTAAATGTTATGTGCAGTTACTTATGTCTCTCCTGTGACAGAGCTAATTAAGTCATTCCTAGCCCTCCTCCACACAGCAAAACAAAGGTGGAGAAAGAAGACACAAAGGCAGCAGAAGATGCAGGAAAAGGTTCCTGGAGTGTCCACTGGGGTACAAAACCGAACAGCTGCCCTGCCAACAAACTATTCGCCATTTTTCTTTGTCTTTCAGCTGACCCCTGCCTCACTGAAAAACTCCCAGAGACTCCAATGAAACACTGTGCAGCCTCCTTCCACTTTAACAGTCAAAGACATTCAATCTAGCATGCTATTTGACACCGGACCTCGCCTCTGCTGGCATCTCATTGGCTAAACCCCTTTATCTCCAGCGCCCACAGAACCCGGATTGGCGGCTCGGGTTGTCACTCACCTCCTGTGTACACTTCCTGTTTTAAAGTTACCTTGAGATGCAGAACAGGGGTCAGACACGGAGACTTCGGTCTTGGAACAACTTATGTAAAAGGAATCGCTGGCAGAAACACACATTCAATAAATAATAAGCAAACAAATCAATTTTTTAAAAAAAAATGAAGATAATCAGCTTTCTGCCTGCTTTCATCACAGACACAGCTACAATTCTGACCCTGTCTTTCACATTATGATATATAAATCTACATAAATCCTGGGATAAAAAAAAAAGAAACACAGATTTTGTTTTTATTTTTTACTCTTGATCAAAACACCATTTTAAGAGATACGATTTGCAGGATGCTGCCTTGCCACCACAGACTGTGGATCTGAAGGCAACCTCATTTCGCAGGCAGCGAAACAGAATATGACAGCCAGCATGACAGCCAGTGAGGGATGAAGGGGGAAAAAGAAGCAGGAAATAGCAATCTTGGACTTCAAAATCATCATGACATCAGCCTCTCTTCGCCCACCCCTGGCAATTCAACACCAGGCTCTCTCAGCCGACCGCTAGGGGTGTTCTAGATATGGAACCCCCAAAGTGGCTGCCTGGTGGACTGGTTGTACCCCTTTTTGCAGTATAGGTTTCACATACTCTAGTAGTCCTACAACATTTATACAGAACGCCTGAAAGGCATTCAAGTCACTATGCCCTGAAGGGGAGAAAGCTTGCAGCCACTGTCAAAAAAACCACATCTAAACAACCATTCCAACATCTCTAGGGTGTACATCTTCACAGAAGGGAAAAAGTAAATCTTCATAGATTGGGAAGTTACCTTTTAGCTGTTATCATTTCAAAGCCCAATTGTTAACTTAACTGCCATTATAGTTACAATGTCAAACCAATTCTTTACCTTCATACTTCTCAAAAATAAATAAAAGTGTTGATTTAATTGACTTTGAGAGTCCCCTGGACTTCAAAGAGAACCTATCCATTCTGAAAGAAATCGACCCTGAGTGCTCACTGGAAGGACAGATCCTGAAGCTGAGGCTCCAAGACTTTGGCCATCTCATGAGAAGAGAAGACTCCCTGGAAAAGACCCTGATGTTGGGAAAGTGTGAGGGCAAGAGGAGAAGGGGACGACAGAGGATGAGATGGACGGACAGGGTCATCGAAGCGACCAACATGAATTTGACACAACTCCGGGAGGCAGTGGAAGACAGGACGGCCTGGCATGCTCTGGTCCATGGGGCCACAAAGAGTCAGACACGACTTAACGACTAAACAACAACAAGCTCTCTTTTTTTAACCTGCAGCATAAGACAGAGGTGCACGATAAGCTGGCATTTGAATCATATGATACTACCCTCCACCCTATTTTGTGAGCCCCTAAATTACAAAAGTAACTACATATAAGGACAGTGACAGTACGAAAGGACTGCCATGATCACTCATTAAGTGGCAGCCATAATGCGGTGTAGCTGTATCTTAGGTATCAGAGAAAGGAGTGAATTGCAAGGATCGAATTGCTTCTAATCATTTACTTCTAAGTTCTGCAATTCCTACTTCCATCCCAGGCAAAGATGTCAGAAGAGAGAGTACGGAACCAGAGAGCACACACAATGCTAAATGACAGAAGCTATATACAGGAGAGCACACACAATGCTAAATGACAGAAGTTATATATTTTAAAAAGCAAGTTCATGAGAAGAGAGACAAAATCCACCCTCTCAGATGGACAATAAAGCAAGTTCATGAGAAGAGAGACAAAATGCACCCTCTCGGATGGACAATAACTGGCAAACACAGTTTACAAAGCATCAACTACTTCTTTGATTCAAGACTAGCCCTGCGCTGTTCAGAAACAGCTATGAGATACTGGGTGACCTGGTTTTGAACCTTGGCTCTATGGATCAAGGTCATCCTCTGCAATTCCAGGCTCACATCATCAGCCAGCTCCACAAGGCAAATAAGATACACCAGGCTGCACAGAGGTTTCAGTCTCAGGGATCTACCGCCTCACCGAGTAGTCCCACCGCTGCAGTTTTTTGCCTTGCCTTCATCTCCTTGTCTGCTTCACCATGAGCAGGAGCGGGCAGCTCGTGGCCTGGCAGTTACCACTGGGTGGCAACTTCTATCAGGCATAGACATTCAGCTACATGCAAGAAATACTGTTTGGGAACATGGAGAAATACTAAATATAATACAAAGATGTGATGGCTTTTTCAAGGAAAAAATATTGTGAAAAGGAAAATAAGCCACACAAACATCAAACTTCAAAAACATCTCTTTGGAAAGAGCAGAAGCTACTTCCATTAAAATGGAGTCTGACACTAGGACAGCCAATAAAGCACAGAATAACTCGCATGAGGCTGAAACAGGAGAATCTGCAGGCTGATTAAAATCATCCATCAGAAATACCATATGTTCAAGTTTCTCCTTAAATAAAAGAACATATAATGTGTGGAGAAGCAGGGATCTAACTAAAGCTTACAGGAAAATGTTTGCTGCAGCAGTGTCTCTATTGTCCGGTACCACTGCTCATGCCCACTGGGGTTGATGCACTGGGGTTGAGGCAGAACCAAGTTTATTAGGCAAGCAGACTGAATCAAGTAATAACTAAATATTTAAATAATAATCATGTGCCCTGAAGACAATTTTGACTTATGGAGACCCTTATTTCCAGGGTTTTCCAGGTAGACAATATTCAGAAGTGGGTTTGCATTCCCTTCTTCTGAGAGGCAGAAGTGGGTTTGCATTCCCTTCTTCTGAAAGGGCTTCTGAGACTGTGCAGCTTGCCCAAGGCCACCCAGGCTGGCGCTATCCACAGGCGGCACAGTGGAGGAATCGAACTCCTAACATCTGGCTCAGCAGCCCAACACCTACATCATTATGCTATCCAGTCAGCAAATATTTAAATATTGATCAGATTAAGGTCTGTTAAAAAGAACACAAATAGGAGCTATTCTAGTTGCTCAATTAACAGCATAGATATGAGTGGCAAGATTGGAAAACCTACTAAGAAAGTGTTTTGAGCCTGTGCTGTGGAAAAACTGAAACTGAAAACAGATTTTCAAATTAACTGAATTTATTTAATACACAGCAAGGCTTATTAGAAAGCATGATGGATGTAGATTGGTATTTTTAGACTACAGCTCCCATAATTCCCAGGCAGAATTGTGGGAGTTGTAGTCCAAACCCAAAGTTCCGCACGGCCTCTATTAGTGATTCTCCTCCCAAAGAAGGGCACAACTGTCTAGATTCCTAATTAGGTTTCGTCTTGATCTCTCCCTGACATCAAACTAGGTTGGGAACAATGTAAAATAAAACAAATATGACAAGAACAAATTCAGATAGACCTCTGTATCCAAATTGTATTAACGATGAATCACCAACATTTGCTGGTGCAGTGATTCTGTGAGCAAATACCCTGGCATTTTCAAGAATGATCTCTGAAATGTTTCACTCTCTTCAGATTTTCAGCAGGTGCAGCTCTGAAATTTAGGAATGAGGCCCTAGTGGGTAGGGCAGTAATGTGGAAGTCCTTGGCTGAAGCTCCTAACGAATACTATCTCCTACTACCATGAAATAGGGTTAAAGAATGCATAAGCACCTCTTCAGCACACTTGTTGACATGACACAGAGTGGTATTTCAGTTTCACAGGGGAAAAAATGCATTGGATAAGACCAAGAAAAGGGTGTGGGTGATAGAGAACAACACCCTATGAGTTCATCAAGGCATGAGAAGAGAACAAGTCCATCGCATTTGATTACATATTTTCCATGTTGTTGGCAAGGGTAGGGGCAGTGAACACAGGTCTCACCCATCACCGCCCGCACACAGCCTCCATGCCAATTTTAGATGACTTTTCAGCCTACTTAATTTAAAGCAAACTCACTTGAAAGTAATAGAAGGTTAATCACCTAAATCCCAAAAGTCAAATACTCACCAAAAGGATTTTTTCTTTTATTGGAAATGTGCCAAGCATGTGGAATTCTGACATTTCACTGCAAATATTTTAGGTTCTCCTCCAACACTAGTTTTTGCACCCAGGACACCTTATGGAATAAAAACCCATCCCAGAAACGCTGTGCTTTGTCATTTCAAAATCTGTGGCTCCCCACACGGATGTCTTCCTTTCCCCCAATCGCTGCCATAGAACTGCCACAGTTTGTAGAGCAATCACATTGTATACATGTCTTCCTTTCCCCCAATCGCTGCCATAGGAGAACTGCCACAGTTTGTAGAGCAGTCCCATTGTATACACATGCTATTTATTTATTGGATTTCTATCCCACCCATCTAGACCAAAGGTCTACTCTGGGCAGTTTACAAATTTAAAAACAATAAAACCAAAAACATATACTTATAGCTCCAGGATGGCGAAGTACAGGTATAAGAAATTAAGATATGGCAGGAGGGAAAGCCTGACCAAACAGCCAGGTTTTAAGTTTATTCCTGAAAACACCCAGAGAGGGAGCCAGGCGGATCTCCATGGGCAAGTCGTTCCAAAGGCGAGGAGCCACTGCCGAGAAGGCCCGGTTCCTCGTTCTTTCCTTCCGGACCTCCTTCAACGTTAGGCCCCTCAGCCACCCAGCCTGGCTGGAACAAGTGACTCTGGCAGAACTGGGTGGGAGAAGGAGCTCTGCCAGATATCGAGGTCCTAAACTGTTTAGGGTTTTATATGTAATCGTAAGTACCTTGAAATCAAAGCAGAAAAGAATGGGCAGCCAATGCAAGGCGGCCAGTGTGGGGGAAATATGTTGCTAGCAATCTAACCAGGCAACGTTTATCTGCCGAGAACAGCCAAGTACTGTGGATGAGTCCGGAGACAAA